GAAACAAAGTGGGCTTTCACGGCATTTAAATATTGTGAAAAAATATAATATTCCGCGTAATGACTTGGATAATTTGTCAGAAACAAACAATGAAAAGTTTAGAAGTATTCTAGTTTACTTAATTCACCGCAAACTTCCACATGGATTTAAAAAAGGAGGTCGTCAATTAGTGTCTCTTGCCTGTACCGAACATCAGTTTTTTAATATTTTTAAAGGACATATTCATCATCATCATAGTAATAGAAACGTCTACAAGTGTGTTTTCCGAGGATCTTCTGGATATCAAATATTAAGTGAAATCTTGAATAATCCATTATGGGGTCGAAAATTTTATGACAATGAACAACAAACTTATGTTGTTTTATTTAGTGATCCACCTCAGCATTTAAAAAATAACCCATTAGCCATTGCAACTCGTTGTATTACTGAAGGTGTAAACACTAAAAGGCGCAAATCTAAATATAATCCTGGAGAAGTTGTTGTTGAATGGAAAATTAAGGGTGAAAGAGATGCAAAGGAGAATTATTGTGAAGCAGGGTTTATATATATACGTTTTTGGGTAAAACAAATTTAAAACTTTATTGTAATAGAAAAAAAAAATTATATACGTCTATAATAAAGTGTTTTGATATTTTTTTCTATCTAAATATTAACCAAAGATAAATTTTTAAAATTATAAAATGTGAATATTTTGAGGTTTTGGATAGGAAAGTGAGACATTATTTTGAGTATAAAATAGAAGTCGGTTTTCATGTTCCAAAATTTCGCAGATTGCTGATGTTTTATTTTGAAAATTTTCACCATTCTTGAGAGTTTTCTTAAAAAAATAACAAACATGATTGTGGTTCTTTTTTTCGACAGCACTGCACGAAAATGCATTTAATCCCCACCTTTTATGGATAAGCATAAATTCCCAAACATGTGATACTAAACATAAATATATGGGGTTACATCTGATGATCGATAAAGTCCTTGTTCTAAAATATTATTAGTTTCAGGATCTATCACAGTTTTTTTCAAAAATAATTCATACCATACTTTTGCTTTTAAACGAAAATATTGTGGATCTGTTTTTATTTCTCCTAAAAGGTCATATAACTCAGCAAATCCATTCCACAAACTTTTAATTAAAGCAGCACGTTCTGGATCAAAAAGTTTTGCCAAATTAAAGTTCTGAAGAACACGAAGCTTATCATCCCCCATTAAAGAGGTGTAATCCCAATTCTCAGTACCACGAATTTTCCAAAACTCAAATCGGATTTTTAATTTTTCCATCTCTTTGATTATAATATTCCGAGATATGTCATTAAATAATCCCTCGTTTTTGATTTCTTGTAAAACTAACTCCCACAAGCGGTCAGTTATACGTAACATTATGTGAAGCTTATCAGGAACATGATTTTTAAGCGAAATCATATTGAAAAGTGGTGGTAATTTATGACCTGGGTATGCTATTGGATTTTCATTTAAAATACTCATTGATTTACTAATCACCCAGTCAACTTGCCCATTTCCACGTTGGTTTTTAGTTATCTCACACCATGGACAGAAATAATTGGAGTTTGCGGCATTAAAACCCAAACAGATAGCGAGAAACTTCCAATCTGAGCTAAAAAAAAGCTCAAAATTCCACAAAATATTGTTAATAATCATTCCATTATTACTTAATTCTTGCAATTCTTGAATTAGGGCATTTACTGCAACTGTTAAAGTTGGATAATTTTCTGTTCCTGGAAATAAAACGGTTGTATAATGACAATCAGGCTTGAAAAGATTCATTGAATCATCCAATAGTGCTACGGTAATCATCACATGCTTCACTTTTCGTCCTACGTTCCGCCCATCACCAGATATTCGAAGATGAATAGTTGGTATTGCAGGATCTAATACTCCTTTTTTAATATAAGATGGTATTATATATTCAAGAATTTTTTTAACACTTCGGTAAGCACCCTTTCCTGTTGCACTAACAACTTGTTCAATAATTAATGGATCGGTTATATCAGGTTCTTCCAATGGTCCTTCTTGTACAATAGTAGAATTTAAATCAATAAAATTAATGGGTATTAATTCTCCCATACATGCATTAATCTCTTGACGGGTTTGAGAAATAGCATATTCTCGTGGTAATGTTGATTCTACAGCTGCAAGATGGCGATATGCATTACGAGGTATATTTTCTATATCTTGTACATATGCCATTGATTGTAATTTTTGTTTTTTTTTAACACTATCATCATCTTCAAATGTTACATGATATTCTTTATTTTCTATAGTAAAATCCAAAGTTCTTAAAACTACACGATCTTTAGGATTGTAAAAGTTTTTAATTGAATTTTCAAAGTGTATTTGTTCTTTTTTCGCAAGACCTTTTGCACGTTTAATTTGTGTAGTTTTGCTTAATTCTTCATGTAGTTTCAATTCACGTGGTCTACCTTTGCGATATCTATCAATGCATTTTAATTGAAGTCCAAAAAGATAAACTCCAGAAACAGCAGTCTTCTTATCTGGTGTTATAATCTGATAAAATATGTATAAATTAAAATATATTCTTTTATGATTTTTTTTTAAAATAATAAATGTATAAAAACTTACTTTGTGCAGTTCAACAGAAGCATCAAATGGTGATTGAGCCGAAACAACTTGATATTGTAAATTATCTCCAAAACAAATTAGGTAATGAGGTTTTTCTTCTGCGTAATAAATAGAACATTGAATAGTACGACTTCTACTAGCCCGACCCCAGGTAGTTTTAATAATATAATTATCAGGTATAGGAAAATAATTAGGTGCTTCGGTATGATTTACAGTTGGTGGGTAGGTACCTTCTTGAATAACAACATAAGTAAATTTTCGGTCACCATAGTATATTATTTCAGATGAAATAGGGTAATTTTCTTTTTCAAAAGGTTTTTGCTGCTTAGAATTTGACATTGAAAGTAACAGTTTTTTTACGCGTTAAAAAATAGCAGCATATAAAAAATTGTACAACAGATCTATAAAAATGCGATAAGTATAAAAATTTCTGGTTATTAAAAATTCAATATGAGTCTTAATACCATATTTCTTTACCACTTAACTTTCGTAACAGTAACAGAAAAATTTACATCGTATGTATAAAAATTTTTTGGCGTCATTAGTGGCGTCATCAGTGTTACCACATAATGTCAGGTGATTTGACTATCGTTATGATTGGTCCATAAAATTTGGGGTTATCTCAAAAAAATTAGGGTTAGGGTATAGATTAGCGCATATGTATATCTGATTATATAGGTGCCCGAAATATACCAGTATATATCAGTGACATATTGGGTACCCGATATATACCCGATATATGTAAATACCTGATATATATCTGATTAGTCACCGATATATAGGTGCCCGATATATACCCGATAGCATAGATTTTGACCAGTGTATCCCAAATGTGTGACTATAAAGAGAGTTGACTGTACTACAATTTTATTGTTAAATATTATTATAAAAATTCTACTTATTTATAACTTATTAAGCTTAATAAAGTAAAAATTATATATAAAATTCTTTGCAAATCTTACTATAATGAAAATTTTATATTACATTATTAAAATTTTTTCTTTTTAGTTAATTAACCAATAGAATTAAAAAAAAAGTAAGGTAAAAATCATTAATAAAAGGCTAATTTTCTATGGTAATTTTTATTATAAGTAAAATCTTGTATTATATTAAAAAATTACTTATAAATAATATTTTTTATATTTTTTTATAAATTTTATAATATAGATCTTGTGATCTACCAGATAAAGACATTGGGCTAGCTATATATTAAATGGTGCATTTCCATATGTTATCTACTTGATTAGTTATTATAACTACCTAATAGTACACATATAGGATTCTGTAGAAGAATAGGGATTAGAACTAGTTAAAGCAGTTAACCAGTTAAGATAATTTAAAAACAGTTAACTGGTTAATTTAACTGGTTAAATTAACCAAATAATTAACCGGTTAACTTAACTGGTTAAATATGAAATGTTGTTATATCAGATAATTTTTTAATTCAAAACTTCTGATATTCCTATATTAGCTAATGGCTAGCTAAAAAAATAAATTGATTGAAACTTTTTTATTGCTCAATTTTTTACAAAATTTTTTTTTTTTATTTTTTATATAACATGGATGATATTGAGTATTGACTATAGAGACATATAAGAATCTCAATCTGAGTCATCAAAACAGCAATTTTCTGTTTATTAAAAATAAATTCAAAGTATTTAAGTTGCTAGCAGCCTAGCACTAATAAGATAAATAAATATCATAATTAATTACTTGAAATGTTATTTATAAAGTCTTTTTAGAGAAAATAAGATAAGAACAACCAATCATTTTCATTATTTCAATTTTATCATTATTACTAGTATTTATATTTACATTATTTATATAAATTATGTATTTACAATTTATCAAATAATTATAAATAAAGTTAAAAAATGTGTTTTTATTATAAATGAAGCATAATTTTAAGAGTAAAATTGTGATAGATTTATCAAATATTCAAATGGGCAAAATAAAACTTATAAATGTGTTAAACATAAAATTTATATCTTTAACCAGTTATTATCTGGTTAAACATTTTGATTAACCAGTTTTTAACTGGTTAAAGTTTTTTTGAATGGTTCCAATCCCTATAAAAGAATAATACAAATTAATAATATTAGCATAATTATTTAGTTCTTTACTTATGTATAATTACTAACATTATTCTAATAAATTTGTAAATGTACTGTGGTTATTAAAAAAAAAAAAATTAAATTTTATAACTAACAAGATTAATGTAAAAATTTCTGTAATAAAGATGTATTTTATTATAATTATATACAATTTTTTTCAAATATACTAATTTGTTGATAATTAACAAATATTTAGATTAAAGATGATTATAAAATAAAAAAAAAATATATAAAGGGTTAAAATTGCATATGTAAAATATAATAACAAAATTTGAAGAATTTAAAATAATCCTAATTACTAGCTTTTTATTTTTTGTACTTTTGTAAATAAATCACTTTTTTTTGAGAACTGTATACATTCCAATATTCCATTTAAAGATCAAAATACAATGTTAAATATTACTATTACATTTGCTTAGAATTTTGAAATATCTCTACCAAAAAGAAATCGCTATAGAAATATGTATGCAAAGGTTAAATTAATACTTGTTATATTTGTTAAAATAAGTAGATTAGTAATTTATTTTAATTACCTTTGACCAATCTAGAGCAAGTAAAGCTCTTGTTCTAAATGAAACTTGTTCACTAAGATATACACTTCTCCATAAATAAACAGCAGACATACCTCCCATCCAAGTCCATCCCGTACCAAAATCAGCTACAGCAGCATTACCAACATAAGCAAGTGAACCAAAATGTGCATATGAAAATGGTGGTAATAGATCATCAACATCGGGCTCAGGTTTATCGGTATCAGTTGAGTAATCCGATGAAGGTGGGTATATTTTTGCGTTATGTGCTGCTGCAATTTGATTTAATTTCTTACCTAAATACTTACCTTGTTGATGGGCTACTTGTGCAGTCTTAATATTTATATAATGGTCAATAAATAATTTAATTTATAATATACAGAAATTAGAAATATCATACCGCTGGTAAAGATGTCAGTTTTTTGTCAATATCTTCCAACATGGCATTTAATTCTTCTAATTCAATTGTACCTAATCAAAAAATTTATTAAATATCTTTTTAAAGTAAATAAATAAAAAAAAAAACTTTTTAGCATACCACTCTTGTCTTTATCATAACTTGCAAACAGAATGTCAGCTTTTTTCAAATGGCTTTTTGTAATAGGATAACGCCTACTAATTTTTTTGGCTAAAACCTGAAATTCATTATAACTCAAACGTCCATTCTTATCTTCATCCGCATCAACAAAAAATTGCATCAATTGATTAACCAGTTTTGGGTTTTCAATGGTTGAACAATCTCCTATCGCATACACCGAAGAGTCAGGCACTCCCTTAAGACGGAGCCTATTATCCGTAATAAGAGCACGTGTATTTTTCTGATCTTCTAATTTTTCCGATATTGTTTTTGTTAATGGATTCATAGCTAAAAATCATAAATATAGCTTAATATTTTAAACTTCATAACGGAAATAATTTATAAATTAATAGTATTCTCACCAATTCCAGTAGACCATAATACTAATCCATAATCATGCTCTTTTACTTCTCCATCTTTCATTTTATACACAATATGATTGGGTTCTATTTTTTGAACTCTTGCATTTGTTATAACATTAATATTGTCTCGCCTGAATTTTTTCTACAAAAAATAGTTATCCTTAATTAATTCAGGTAAAGAAAATTTCTAAATTGACCAAATATGATTCATATTAAACATCAACCCAAACATTATCATAACCTTAAATATTTTTCCTAATGAACTCACTAAAATAGCCCGTGTTAACATATTTCTCTAAACGAAAAAAATCGTATTTACCTCAGCAAAATCACTAATTTTCGCATCATATGTATTCAAAATATGGTCTTGGCCCTGAATAATGCTAACGCGCACTTCATTCCTAAGGATTAACGGAAACTACTATAAAGTGAATATTTTCTTAAGCTTTATATTTTTTTTTGCTAACAAACTTACATATCTAACAACATCTTCTGTTAAAAAGTCATATAATTCTGCTGCAAATTCAACACCTGCAAAACGGGAAAACATCTATATTAAAAATTATAAATAATTCTAGAAAAATGTAAATTCCTTACCGGTAGGTCCTTCATTTAATGAAATAAAAATGAAATTGGTCTTAACTAATTGTTTTTTCACACCATAATTATTATTAACACAAAATTAACCTTACCGCCTCCACAAACAATGAAACTTAAAAGCCTTTTTTTTTCTTCTGGTGAGGTTGTTGGTAAGGATGCCTTTTCAAAATTGTCCATAATTTTTTTCCTTATCCTGCGGGCATCGTTTATTGATTTTAAAAAGTGACAATGTTCAATTCCTTCAATTCCATAAGTAATTGACAAAGACCCTACGGCAATCACAAGCTACAATTAAAAAAAAAATACAGATGATGCTTAAAATAAACTATTGATATTATTTAAAAAGTTATATAATAAATTATTACTTTATCATATGGTAAATAAAATGGTTCGCCTGAATCTGGACTCAGCTCAACTAATTTTTCATTAATGCAAATGTCTGTAGCTTTAGCCTCAAGAAAATGTGCTGATATGCCTTTAATAAGACTTCGAATAGGTTCTAAAATTGACCTACATTCTCAAGTATCAATCTCATAAGAAATTTTTTTGAACATACTATATATAAATACATTGATATAATTCATACCTAGTTTCAAGTGTGCCTACGGTTGCAGAAGGAAGAAGGGGTCTAAATATAATATAAACGAACCAATTTTAACATATAACATCTATTTGAGTTTGGTAAAATAGCAAATAAACAAAATTTTACGTGAAAAGAAAATAATTCCTACATAATGGATTAAAATTTGTGAGCAAATTATTGTAAATATTACTAAATTTGAATAGAGTACACTTACTGCGGCGATACTAATGTAATGTGATACTTGTCTCTCTCCAATGCCTTTATGACTGATATAGCCTGAAAAATTAAACACTAAATAAACTAGAAATTTTCGGGAAAGATTAACTAACAGAATCACCTACCCCCCAACCAGAGCCAAGAATAACTAATCGTGGTTTATTAATATCGGAATCATCTTCATCTATCAAATGATCAGCAACCAGCAAATTTTTTGGACCACCTCTTTTCAAAGAACTCGGAAACTTTTTGCTTTCTTGCTTATTATTTTCAGCTTCTGCATGTTTATGATTTAAAATTGCGAAAATTGTAGTTGCACCTATAATTAAAGAGGACGCGATAACTACTTTTCTCCCAAATTTGGAAGACACTGTTGGTTTTTCAGTATTTACCGTTTCGGTTGAAATAAATTTTCGCGAAATATTTGGATATTTATGTAAATGGCTAGAAATTGCTCTTGAAGCACGATCTGAAGCGGATAGTTGAATTTGACCCGAAAGGAGCAGTCTGTGTTGTATATGCAAAGCTCCACGACTTGCCACCAATTTGCTACGTAAACAGTACATATTTAAATAGTCAGATTTGACAAGATTTCGCAACTTTTTAAAGGAAATTCACTAAGGGTGTTTATTTTGCGGCAGGTTGTATCGCGCTACGCAGTACTACAGTACACAGGAATGACGAAAGCTGGTGCTCCTCATCAGATTTTAATCCAATTAATTAATAAATTACGCTTTTGCTAACTTATTTATACCGTATTTTATTATTAACTTCGTATATAATTATATAATGTTCTTCAAAAATCAGCATAATTCTGATCGGGATACTTATGTTTTCAGATAGGGATTGTACCTACTAGTACATTTATTAAACATGAATATGAAGGTATCACTATAAAAGAGCAAACAAATTAATTATGAGTTTATTAATTAACTGAGCTAAATTCTGTTTTTAAGAAACCTTCTTTAAAACTCCATTTCTATTTTTTTTCATCCTTTATTTCTTCTGCTTATTGCTTTTGAGTTGATAATGGCAACCAAGTCTATGCATTATCTGAGTGTTGAGATGGAGGAAACTTCTGCGATCAAAGCTGCGGCGCCCGGGTCTCTTCTAGTTGATAGATTTGTTTTGGAGTAAGATATTAATTAATCAAAGCGAAGTTGTAGCTTTCTTCTTTAACGTAATAATAATAATAATTAGCACAAAGAGAAATGATATTCTCAAAGCGCGAAAGATATTATTTGTCTTACGTGCTCTTCTTTATATCTTTAAAAGTCATCTTATGATAGATATCTTATTGAATCGATGTATTTTAATACTTTCTTATTATATCCTCAAGAACATTTCAAATAACTATCTCTTCGCGTAATACCACGTTTTAAATAAACCTTTTAACATTCAATAATGAAAAAATTTTTCTTAATTTCTTGAATGTTAAGTACAACTATAGATCTAAATGTGTAAATAAATGCTAGTATTTCAATATAAAAATTTTGATACGTCACAATTTATTTTGTGATCACAACCGCAGTCTAATAAAACGGAAATTACCGTCTCTATTTAACGTTTTAACGCAATGGCTCCTTCAAAAATACAGGACGACGATTCTGAACGTAATAATGGAACCGAAGATACCGGAAAAGATCTTTCAGGAAAATCGAATGTACCTGGTAGTCTTAGTGCCTCTACTGCAAAAGCTACTGTCGCTGTTAGTACAGACCACAAAACGGATAGTCATATAACTGCGTTTCCTGACGGCGATCATTTTTCAGGTATTTTGTCACTTCTAAATTGAAAAGCCTCAACCGGACCCGCAACAAAAAAAGGTATCACGTTAACCTAAAATTTTTGAATAGGAATGACAATTCATCAAGCAGCACAACAAGGGAATTTACATGTTTTGAAAAGCTTAATTGAGAATGGATATGCCGAGGTTACAGATAGTGATTCGCAAAATGTAACGGCTTTACATTGGGCTGCTATCAATAACCATGTAATAGTAGCGAAATATTTGATCGAAAATGGAGCTGAAGTTAATGCTTTTGGTGGTGAATTAGTTGCTACTCCTTTGCATTGGGCGGCAAGGTTTGTTTACTTTAACTTAAATCAAATATTTCGATTAATTTTTTTTTACTGATCTGTTAGAAGAATTTTGAGGATTTAGAATAATTGTGTGGAACTAGCGAATATTTAAAAAGATTATTTGAAAAAATAATATTTTAGAAATGGGCATCTTCCAATTGTGACCTTGTTGATCAATCACGGAGCTGATCCAAACTTACGAGACTCTCAAGGATTTAATGGGCTTCATCTCGCGACCCATTCCTCCAATACTATGCTAGTTTTATACCTAATATATCAGGATATGGACATTGATACACCTGATACGCTTCAACACACTCCTTTGATGTGGGCAGCATATCAAGGAGATCAACTAACACTGGATTTATTAATAAGACTCGGTGCTTCAGTCACAAAAGTTGATACTACAAGTTTTACTCCTTTACATTGGGCTGTTACTAAGGGAAATCATATGTGTTTAAGAAAATTAATAGAAGCTGGCGCTGATATAGACGCAAAAGAGAATAATGGGAAAACTCCCGCAGATCTTGCTCAGGAAATGAGTTCTGAAAAAATTTGGCATAGAGCTTTAAGTGAATCAGGAAGAACAAAGTCTGGGAAAAGAGGATCATATTTATTTGGTCGAGTGAGTAATAAATTTTATTTTATTTATGCTTTAATAAAATAAAAATAAACTAAAATTTATATGATCTCCTATTTTGATATAGCAAGCAACACACGCGATTATATATTCCATTCCATTCTTTGTTCTTTTTTTGGCATTTCAAACATTAGCTCGATATCCATGGTTTATCGGATTACCTTTAGCAATAGGTGAATTTGTTGTGTTCCACATATTAATAGTAAAGGTTCTCATAAAAGCGCAAGTGCCGGATGCAATGATGAGAACTCCCTATTTCACGAGCATATTTCAAGCAAGTGCGTTTTGGGTTGGTGTAACTTGGCTTTTCAGGATTTTACTCGGTATTGTTTTGAAATTATATTATTCGATTTTCTTTCTATTCGATATAATATTAAATTATTAAATAGGAATTTTTTTTTCTTTAAACAGTTACATCTTATTCACTTGTGGCAAATATTGTATTTATTAGTTCCTATGTTGTTGCGTTGTACTCTTTTTATACGGCCGTATTGGCAGATCCAGGGTTTGTTCCAAAATTGACATCTCGGGAAGAACAAAAAGAGGTAACAAGATAGATAACAAAATTTATCCCATTTTTATGTATTATCATGCTAACATTTCCTTTACATTAATCAAGTTGGTAATTTGCCTTGCGAACAAAGGAATGTTAGACGCAAGACATTTATGTATTACATGCTTGGTTAGTATTATTTTAACAAAAGTTGGATCGTAACTTAGATGTTAAGTATGTTAAGTATGTTAAGCTCACTTGAATATCCTTTTAGATTAAGAAACCTCTTCGATCTAAGCATTGTAAAATATGTGATAGATGTGTAGCACGATTTGACCAGTAAGAATTTTTTTTTAATTGGAATATTATGAAAATTTTTATTGATGGCTTTATTAATTTTCTTTCCTTAGTCACTGTCCATGGATATATAATTGTATTGGAGTGAGAAACCATCGTGCTTTTATGATCTTCCTTATAATGATGATTGTATCGATTATCAGCTATGAATATCTTTGTATTCGATGTATTATTATTTTCCATGTATTTTTTTTTGGTAACTTTTTCTATTGAAAAATTTATTTATCAAATTGTTATGTTTGTTTATAGACCTTTTGGATGCAGCACCTACATATTTTCCAAAACCATCTGAACCATGCTTGTTAAATGACATGTTATGTGGATTTTTCCAATATGATACATGGACTATGTCATTAGGTATTTGGGCAGCACTACAACTTACATGGACCATTGGATTGATTTGTATGCAGGCTTATCAGATTGCTTCAGCAAAAACCACCAATGAAATGGCAAATTTCCATCGATATTCATATTTTGGAAATCGAAATGGTGGAAATGTTCGTGAGCAAATTTTGGCTACGCTCGTTGCAGGGCCTGGAGCAAGTGGTGCTGCACAAGTAGGTGATAATGGTGGAGATGATTTGACAGCTACTGAAGATGGAATGGATGGAGGATTTGGAGATCATGCTCAAGAACATCATAATTATCATGAACATAGTAGAATTTTAAGATTATTTGGTGGAAATGGTAAAAGGCGTTCTCATCATCATGCCAGTCACAATTCCGATGGAAATCCATTCGATTTTGGATGCTGGAATAATTGTGTAGACTTTTGGTCACAGGGTCAAGGTGGTATGCTACAAAATGTCAATTGGTATGGACTTTTTGATGTTCCTCTTGTTGAACGAAGGACTAATATGACTTCAAGAAGAACAACTGGTGGATACATGGCCGTAAGAGATGATGAAGAAATTGTATAGAATTTGATTTGATAATTATATTTAAGAATTATTTTGTGCCACTATTAGTACCATTTTTAATCAAAAAATTATACATTGTATCTTTAAATATCTTTAGACAGTTGGGAGGTTAATAAAAATTGGTCCATAGAATAGATTTCTTGGAACATATTAATTATTTTAATAGTTGAATTTAAGGTTTATTAATTATAATTATTATTTATTAACAGATTTTTAAGATGTAATTACATTTTTTAAATAAAAATCTTGTTTTAAAGGCAGACTGTTAGATATTGAAAATATTTATATAATCTGATTTTTATAATGTCTCAATAAAATATCATCGAAAAGATAATATATTGTATATTTATTTCAATTTAGACTTTTTGTTAATAAATATTCTTTACTAAAATGGTTATTTTTTGATATAATTTATTAATATTAATATTATTTTGTAATAGTTGAAATTGTTTTTATGTATTTTAGCAGATTACAATTATTTCACAATTATTTACAATTGTCCATTATCTATTTACAGCACTATTTTTATTTCCATTTATTGTGTATTATTTGATATGATATTCTTTTAATAAAATTTAATATTATTATAAAATTTGTGTTTTTGTGGTATTTGTAATTTTTGATATATTTAGTAATCTGAATTTACAATATGTCCTATTATATGATTTATAACTAAAATATATATATATATATATTTATTTATTTAATTAGTATTTTTAATTAAAAATTTACCAATCTAATTTATTAAAAAATGTTTTATTTAAAGTTATAAACAAATTAATTTCAAATTAGTCTGAGTTTTAAACAATTTAAATTAGAATCAAAATCTATAAGACTAAACTAAAAAACTGATGATTTAATTTAATTTAATCTAATTTTTTTAAAAAAAATACAAAAAATCATATTACTAACCATCTAATAATTTTATAAAAATAATCAATATATCATTAGATTTTTCTTATTAAAACATGTTAAATAGTGATAAAATTATATTTTTTAGTATTAATAGTAAAACTCTAAATAAATTGGATTTTTTTTGGCAAAAAGTCAGTTGTAAACTTTATAAAAGATGTTCAGGATTCTATTAATATATGATGTATTACATCAGGAAATTTGTTTAGGCATAATTTAGTGTAATATTTTGGAGGTGGTGTAAAATTTTGAAATATTACACTAAAAACGTAATATTACAAAAGTTTATGTTCTTAAATTTGAATAATTATAGTAATTTAATAATATCTTGCTATCTACTGATCCAATCAAGACGATCTATAGCTCATTGGAATCAGCTCATCAAGACGAATCAAATAGTAGTAAAATCTCATCTTTTTGTTTGATAAATGACTTTCTATTAATTTAAACATTATTGCATAATATAGAGCGTTCTATTAACTGTAAAAATGCAATTTTACTACCATTCGATTCGTCTTGATGAGCTGATTCCAATGAGCTATAGATCGTCTTGATTGGATCAGTAGATAGTAAGATATTATTAAATTACTATAATTATTCAAATTTAAGAGCGTAAATTTTTGTAATATTACGTTTTTAGTGCAATATTTTAAAATTTTACACCATCTCCAAAATATTACACTAAATTACGCCTGAACAAATTTCCTGGTGTAAATTCTAAGATAATGACTTTACTTTATTTAATAACTAATTCCATCCAACTTTATTTTTTTTTTTGTTGACTGCAGCATATTTGGAACCTTTATTAACTGAACTAATACATTGAGATACATGAGAAGTAAAAAAAAAACTAATATTATTAGGAACTAAACCATCCATCTACCACTCGGGGCAACTATATGTGCACTATTAGGTTGAAACTCCGGATTAGTAGAGTAAGTCCACTTTCTAAAATGTTCTTTCTTAGAGAAATGCCCTTCTCCAGGTCTTTGTCCTGTAGACGCCTAATAAGACTCACATTCCATTCAACTTTAATAGCTATATCCTACTTATTTATGAAATAGATTATTAGAAACTTAAGATAAAATGTATAATTAATAATTTTAAAGATTCTATTATATATAAATAAATTGCACCAAAACTCTCTCCATCGATCGTTAAACCAAATTTTCACACCACAGTTTATGATAAAAAATATCACAACTATATATAGAAAAGTCATAAGAAATTGTTTATTTCATACAGTACAAAAGAAGAGAGATTGAAAGATAAAGTTTACTTCTTTACAACAGTTAGAAAGTAATAACGCTTCTTTTTCAAACAAACTCGTAGTTTAATAACTCGAGAATAACAATAGTCAAGAACTGTGCTTCTCTGTACATATATCGTCTCCCAAAGAAACAAATAGACTACTAGCCCAACACTAAACAAGTCAGATAAACAACTGCAACAAAGTTGGACTGTTATTGGAAAAGTTAAACAGTTCCAACTATTTTTTCCTTTAGATATCATTCCAGAACAAAATTCTACAAAAAAAAAAAATTATGTCTATCAGATTATTTCAGATGTACCAAAGTTGAGGACTTATGTTGTTACAACCATAAAAGGTATCAAAGTAATAAAAGTCATATATGATTCAGAAGAATCAGCTCAGAAAATTGCAGGGTGTCAAATCATTGAAAGTAACAATATCAGGTTTAGTAAAATAAATGAGATCAACCAGACAAAAGATAATTAACAATCATACAAAATTTACATCTGAGATGTACCATTGGATATAGAAAAAGATATTTTTGAGCAATATTTACACTTAAGGTTACTGGAGAAACTAGGGGGTTTTAGCAAGTTGGTAAAATGCCAAAATGGTGAAACTTTGCCAAAACTATATGAAAGTCTTATTAAAAAGTTGGTGAAACTCTGGAGAAAAGCGAAACCTGACAAAACCTATTATAAATACTGAAACTGCCAAAACCTTGCCAAAACTATAATAAAACTATAGTAAAATTTTGGAGAAACTAATCGTAGAATTTTGGAGAGGTTTAGGCAGGCAACTTTACTTACACTTGATTGGGAACATAAAGAACATCAAATTCAATATTAAACAACTGTATTACAAGGTAGTAGTAACCTTTGCTGACACATATGTGCCGATTTTTGGAATTAGTCTAAATTAAGATTTTTATAAAAATTTAATATTTTAGTAAGATTAACATTACACAAATCTAAATTAAATATGTGTTACATATTTATGTAACTCAGATTTAATAAAAAATAAAAAAATTTTTTTTAATCAATATTCAAAAATAACGGTAATAACCACTTCTTTTTCCCCATCACTGCCCATCACTTTTCCATCATTTTTCTATTCACTTTTATTAAATATGACAAAAAAGTTTATAAGCAAATATAGCAGTTATTTTTAAGTGGTAAGTAAAAGAAAAAACTTAATATTTTATATACATAGATAAGACATATTTTTTCATAATTTTTAGCTTTAATTTATTGTTTTTTCTTTGTAAAAAATACATGCAAATAAAAAATAATTATGATGTAAAATAGTTGTAAAATGAATAATAAGATATTCTTTTTTTTTCAAAATAACTAATTATATATTTGTTTTTTATCTTTTAAAATTATTTTATTAGATTTATTCTACTAAAATCCTTAAATGGCAAATAAAATCTTTTAAATAAAGTAAAAGAATTTGGGATTCTCTTATGAAAGCATTTTTTGGTAAGAAATAAAATTTTCAGATCGGACTTTATGCAGGTGACAAAATCGTGCATTATTATTCCTGGAGATATGCTAACGTCATCATTTTACATTCATTTGAAAGCTGAGAATTTGCTCTATCGTAAGAATCAAAGATCAGGAAAATTGGATCACTGGATGAGGCGTAATTAACGATCAAAGTCAAATCAAATTTAAAAATTAAAAATAAATATATTAGACGTAATTATTCACAATCCAGTGATTCAATTCATTCGATTTTAGGCTTATTAGATAGACCTCAATTTTCTCTTTCAAATGAATATAATTTCATTCGTGTAGCTTGCATCTACAGGTATTTAATAAATTTTTTTATATCAGATTTTATCAAACTTATAAAATTTTATATTAATAATATAATTGATGATTCCTAAACATCTACATATATTAAACGAATTATTTTAAATTTATTTTAAAGATAAAAGTTGGCATCACCTTAGGGAGCAAAGATCATTCAAATTGAATCACTACATGTGAAGTAATTAATGATCAAATTTAGATAAAATTCAATAAATATACTGAACGTGATTACTGAACAACTAGTGATTCAATTCACTTGATTTTAGATTCATTAGATAGATCTCGATTTTCTCTTTCAAATGAATGTAAATTTATTTGTATAGCTTATTTCTACGAAAAATTATCAATGATTTTGTCATAAGAGTTATATTTGATCTTTTAAATTTTAATGATATCTTATATTAAAAAAAATTAAAAATTATATAATTAATTTGTTTTTTTTGCATTATCTAGTATAAATTTATTATTCTTATATAAATGATAATTTATATTTGCTTTAATAAAATTATTTTTGTGTAAAAAAATTAGATTCCAAAGATCGGCCCATATGATCTATTTCTACAAGTAGAAGATGGCTGATTTGAAGGTGATTCTTCATCATCAAGATTGTTAAGTATACTAGAGACTGACCTTTTTCTACTCATTTGTTTAGTGTTTGAATAAGTTTAACTTAGTTTGGCAAAATCCAAATTTGTAAAAAGGCCAATTTTTATAAAATTTGAAATAACATAAAATCTGTATAATTTGTATGTATAATTAATGTAATCCTGGTAAGGTTGCTTGCCGAAACCTAGGGGTTTAGGCAAGATGGCGTTTTGCCGAAAAGCGAAATTCTGCTGAAACTATATTAAAGTTATATTAAAAAACTGGCGAAACTTTGGAGAAAGGCGAAACTGCTGAAACTTATTATAAATGCTGAAACTGCCGAAACTCTGCCGAAACTATAATAAATCTATAGTAAAATTTTGACGAAACTAATCGTAGGATTTTGAGGAGGTTTAGACAAGCAACCTTAAATCCTGGCTTCTATGATTATTTCAATAATTTTTTAGGATTTAATACTTTTTTTCACAAATTTGGCAATTTTATATAATAAATTTGCGAATTTTTTAATTAATATACTTTTAAAAATTGCAATATGATTTTACAATAAAAAGTTTATTTTATTTTAAAATAACTTTTATTTACAAGATAATCACTTTATCATCCCTTTATCATTTTTGGATGCCAAACAAAC